CAGAGACTTGATTGACATTATTAGGGGAATTCCATGATATATTAAAACTGAGTGATTTGTGATCACTTTCCCCAAGCTCATCATTAACCTCAAGATTATTAATTAGTGTTTCCCTACTGGCAAGAACCAAGTCAAGCAGGTTATTTCCTCTAGTTGGCTCTGTCACAAACTGCTTTAAAAAACAATCCTGGATCGTATCAAGAAAGTCACCTGACTCTAAATTTCCTGTCAAATTGTTCCAGTCAGTCTGTCTAAAGTTGAAATCTCCCATTAGCACAGCATTTTCGTATGTAGATGCCTTACGAATTTCGTCCCATAGAAGTTTACTGCACTCCCTATCAAGATTTGGGGCTCTGTAAATCACACCCAAAATTAGTTTTTCTCGGCCCTCGAGAAGCTGTAACCAAACAGATTCAGTGGCTGACGCTTCTAATTTTATATCTTGTCTAACACAACAATTTAAATTGTTTCTGATATACGTCGCTACTCCACCACCCTTCCTGTTGACCTTGTCAGCGTGGAATAATTTATAGCCTTGTATGTGACATTCAGAAGGCATATCTCTATCTTTCAGATTGAGCCAGGTCTCTGTTATAGCAATAATATCTATGTTTCCTGCACTTGCAATTAATCTTAGCTCATCTATCTTATTTCTTACACCCCTGCTATTAGTATAGTAAACCTTAAGGGAGCTAGTCCCTTGCTGCCCTCTGCTGTCCCCCTTTGTTTGCTGACCTGATCTATTGTCTTTATTTATAACTTCATGCTGAATGCCTTTTATACATTTACTGTTTCCAACCCTAGTGCTGCAACCTGCTTGTTTCCCACACACACCCATACCTCTATCTTCTATCAGTTTAAAATCATAGGCATTTCACCAATGGCCTTCTCTAACGAGTTTGCAAGTGCTACCACCCCAGCCCCAGAGAGATGCACCCCATCCCTTGCATACATATCATGTTTGCCATAAAAGTTGTTCCAGTTGTCAATGAATGGGATTGCAAGTTCCTTGCAGTATCTGTCTAGCCAGCAATTTACTCCAATTGCCCTAGACAACCATTCATTTCCTACTCCCCTTCTAGGCAAGATGCTACATATGATTGGGACCCCTTCCTTAGACTTAATGAAATCTATAGCTGACCTGTACTTATCTAGCAGCTCTTCTCTTTTACCCATCCCAGTATCATTTCCACCAGCACTGAGACAGATAATGGGCTTGTTCCCATTACCTGACATGATATTATCCAGCCTGTTGACTATGTCCCCAACACCAGCTCCAGGGAAGCACACTCTATCTCTCATCTTCTTATTCCTATTACAAAAAGCACGGTCAATATATCTTACCTGAGAGTCACCAACCACAAGAATGCGCTTACCTCTATTAGCAGGGGCAGTAGTACCCTTACCTTCACTGGCCACTGAAGTACATTCATCCTGAAGAACAGAGAAGCGATTTCCTACCTTCACATCTTCACTCTTAACTTTCCATATTCTGATGCTCCTCCCATTACTGGGAACCACTCGCCACTTGTAGCAGGTGCTGGACTGCACCTCACTGCTGGTAGCCGTTGCTACCTCCCCACCTACAGCCTCCTCACAGCGAGAGACAGATTGCACCTCACTGCTAGAAGCCTCATTCCCCACAACTCCAGCCACCTCACACTCTCTCCCAGACCCACTGAGGTGGACCTTCAGCCTCCTAATCTCCTCCTGGAGAAGCAAGACCTCCTTCAACTCTCCAACCTCACAGTATTTAATTTCATTTGATTTTCCTGGATGAAATCAAAATCAACTTAGTGCTCTAATATGTACCTAAACCTGGAGTTTACCTGGAAAAAGTTTCGGGCGTCAACGCCCCCGCGGCCCGGTCTGTGACCAGGCCTCATGGTGCATCAGGGCCTGGTCAATCAGGCTGTTACTGATGGCTGCACGCAACCCCATGTACGAACACAGCCCGGCTGGTCAGGTACTGTCTTGAGGTGTATGTCCAGCGCCTTCTTGAAGACAGCCAGGGGTCTATTGGTAATCCCCCTTATTTATGCTGGGAGGCAGTTGAACGGTCTTGGGCCCCTGACACTTATTATGTTATCTCTTGTCGTGCTAGTGGCTCCCCTGCTTTTCACTGGGAGATGATGCATCGTCTGCCGAGTCTTTTGCTTTCATAGGGAATGATTTTCGTGTTCAAGTTTGGTATTAATTCCTCTAGGATTTTCCAGTAATTGAGGTGTTTTATTGCAGTTATGTGTGCCGTGAAGGTTTCTCTGTACATTTTCTAGGTCAGCAATTTCACCTGCCTTGAAAGGTGCTGTTAGTGTGCAGCAATATTCCAGCCTAGATAGAACAAGCGACCTGAGGTGTCATCATGGGCTTGGCATCCCTAGTTTTGAAGGTTCTCATTATTCATCCTGTCATTTTTCTAGCAGATGCGAGTGATACAATGTTGTGGGTTTTGAAAGTGAAATCCTCTGACATTATCACTCTCAGGTCTTTTACATTAGTTTTTCCCTTCATTGTGTAGTTGGAATTTGTTTTATACTCCGATATAGTGTTAATTTCCTCACGTTTTCCATATCGGAGTAACTGAAATTTCTCATCATTCAACTTCATATTGTTTTCTGCGGCCCATTTAAAGATTTGGTTGATGTCCGCCTGGAGTCTTGTGGTGTCTTCAATGGAGAACACTCTCACGCAGATTCGGGTGTCATCTGCAAAGGAAGACACGGTGCTGTGGCTTACATCCTCTCTATGTCAGATATGAGGATGAGGAACAGGATGATAAATTAGACACGTGTTCTGTTTGTTAGGAAATTATAGATCCATCTACCAACTTTTCCTGTTATTCCTATAATAAGCATTTTGTGCTCTATTACACCATGGTCACACTTGTCAAAGTCTTCTGCATAGTCTGTGTACACTACATCTGTTCAGTAGTGGGACAGGCAGGAGTGACCTGCTGCAAACCCATGTTGCCCTGGGCTGTGTAACTGATGGGTATCTAGATGAGTGGTGATCTTGCTTCTTAAAACCCTTTCAAAGATTTTTATGTTATGCGATGATAGCACTATTGATTTGTAGTTCTTTGCTATTGATTTACTGCTCCCTTTGTGGAGTTGGGCAATGTCTGTTGTTTTTAGCAGCTGTGGGACGACCCCTGTGCCCATCCACCCTCTTCATAGGATGTTAAAAGTACACAGTAGGGGTTTCTTGCAGTTCTTGATGAACACGGAGTTCCATGAGTCTGGGCCTAGGGCAGAGTGCATGGGCATGCCATTCATATCGTTTTCGAAGTCATTTGGCGTCAGGATAATATCAGATAGGTTTGAGTCAACCAAATTCTCAGTCTCGCTCATAAAAAATAATTTAAGTCTTCCACTCTCAGTCTGGTTAGCGGCTCACTAAAAACCGAATCATACTGGGATTTGAGTAGCTCACTCATTTCCTTACTGTCATCTGTGTAGGACCCATCTCGTCTAATTAGAGGCCTATATGTACAAAGCGTACATAAAACTTACTTATTTAGGATATTGGTCGTTTTTGTCTGTTTGGAAAGTTTAGGTTAAATTTGGCTTGAGTAATATCCTAATTTACCATTTTAATTGAAGAAATTTTGCATATTAGTTTCCTTATTAAGACTTGTGAATCTCGTTTCTGTTTCCGTTAAAATCTTAAATTATGATATAAACTGCATAACCAACTTTTGCCGCACTGCGTGCAATTCCAGTTGCGTGCATTGAGGTATTGTGGTCCATGGTTATGGAATACGGGGATACCTTTGTTGGGTCGCACAGAGACCGAAATACGTCTAGGAATAATTATTTTTAATGCATATTATGGAATGTACGAAAGAAGAGAGATTTTTCCAAGAAAGTAAATTATAAACATGTGTTATAAAATAAAAGATTTCTAAGATGTTTGGGAAAGTTGTGGAAGTTAATATATGATTATGAATCATATACAAAGTGGGAACTGTCACAGTTACCGTTAACTATGACAGTCTCTCGAGAAGTTACGAAGGTTGGTGGAAGTATTCAAGAAGGTATGTAAAAGAAAGAAATTAAACGTGAGCATAGGAAACAGCAAGGTAATGAGAGTAACAGAAAGTCTAGGGAATAAATGATTGGCAGATGGGTCTATGAAAGATAAGGGAAATTATAGAAGAAAAGAGCAGAAAAAGTGGTTGGTGCCTTGAGTATTTGTGCAGACAAAGAACTTTATTCATTGAGACAAAAAGAGGATTGTACCAGAGTATTGTTACTAACATTGTTATAAAGAAGTGAAACATGGGAATAAATGCTAAAGCAGGATGAAGATGGAGGCGCTGGAAATATTGAGTTTGAGAACTGTACGTTGTGAATATTATGCAAAGAATTCAGAGCATAGAGTAGAAAGTGTGGGTTACCAAAGGTATAATTTAGAGAGCTGAGGAGGGGTTGTTGAGGTGTGGTGGATATTTAGAGAGATTGAAGCAAGATAGGATAACCTATATCATATACAAATCTAGGCTGGAAGCAGAGAAAGGCTGTGGTTGTCCTTGGAAGGGTCGGAGGGAGGATGTTAAGACAGTTTTGCATACAAGGAGCTTCAACATCCATTAGGCTTGTGTGAACTTGTTAGCTCGAAGAGAGTGGAGACGAGTGGTTATGTCATGACGTGCTGTTGGAGCGAGTGCAAGGTAAGATGAAGGGATTCAAGAAAACCAGTTATCCAAGCATGACTCCTTTAGGTGAGAATTATATCGTCTGTAGTCTGAAGGACGAGAGATGTTGCAGTTTGGAACGTCAATTGAATTGGGTGTCTGCGTACTTTGAGAAGCCAGCTATTAGATGAATGGTAATAAATATATTTCGTTTTGTAAGGTTGCTAAATTGATTGAAAACGGAAGGTGTATTTAAAAACTTATTATTATTATTATTATTATTATTATTATTATTATTATTATTATTATTATTATTATTATTATTATTATCTTTATTGTAAATGATAATATTTCACTGCAACAGCTGGCAGCCATGGAAGACAAGGAAAGGAAGGAAGGAGGAAGACTAAAGAAGGAACATAACGAAGGCTTACCCACTGTCGAGTATATTAGCGTGGACATAAGACGACAGTTCTTCACAGCACACTTGACAGGGCAGCTCCAGCGCGGCAGTAGGTTCCTCTACTCCATGAGCTACGTTGCCTCCCTCAACAACTACCGCTCTGGCTTCTTCAGCGCCCACTACAGTGACAACGACGGAACCCAAAGGTAACTGGGGAGAGGCAAGCTGAGTAGTGAGAGGCTTAGTTGGGTATTGGGAGGTTGAGAGATGAAGGAGGTTGAGTTAGATCATGGGTGATGGGGAGAAGCAGGAGGCTTAGTGGGGTCATGGGTGGTATGGAGAAACATGATGATGAGTGTACATGGGTTACCTGGAGGTTACCTGGAGGTTATTCCGGGGATCAACGCCCCCGCGGCCCGGTCCATGACCAGGCCTCCCGATGGATCAGGGCCTGATCAACTAGGCTGTTACTGCTGGCCGCACGCAGTTCAACGTACGAGCCACAGCCCGGCTGATCCGGCACTAACTTTAGGTATCTGTCCAGCTCTCTCTTGAAGGCAGCCAGGGGTTTATTGGCAATTCCCCTAATGCTTGATGGGAGGCTGTTGAACAGTTTTGGGCCCCGGACACTTATGGTGTTTTCCCTTAGTGTACCAATGACGCCCCTACTTTTTATTGGCGGCATTTTGCATCGCCTGCCCAGTCTTTTACTTTCGTAGGGAGTGATTTCTGTGTGCAGATTTGGGACCATTCCTTCCAAGATTTTCCAAGTGTAGATTATGATATATCTCTCCCTCCTGCGTTCCAACGAGTACAAGTCAAGTGCTTCCAAGCGTTCCCAGTAGTTAAGGTGCTTGACAGAACTTATACGTGCAGTAAAGGATCTCTGTACACTCTCTAGATCTGCGATTTCACCTGCTTTGAATGGACAGGGTGGTGGCGAACAATCAATATCTTTCTAATCAAAGATATTATTTCATTGTGGCTTACATGAGTCGTGAATAGTAATTATCGTTCTGTGTATTGTAGGGCGAGCTTAGTGAATCCTCTTTTTCAGGTGGATATTTTGTGTGGCTCGACGTGCATTACCAGTAATAAAAAATAACCGAGAATAATTGCTCACAGTGCATATGAGTGTATATATATATATATATATAAATATATATATATATAATATATATAATATATATATAAAATATAATATATATTATATAAACATTAACCAAACTGCGGCAGGCCAGGACTCGACCCTACGAACGTTGTACCGCCTCCAGAGACACCACAATGCATGCATCACCTTACCACAGCGCCACTGATCCTACAAGAACCCAGCACACAGCACGTAGCTATGTGTTTGCCTTGGCCCGAGGACACTCGTGACAGTAGTATCTCAAGGATTAATTTCAGCCTCATCCTGTTTAAATACCCGCCTCAACAAGCAGTCTATATAGCAATGAAATCACGAAACAAGTGATTTTAAATCATTTACCAAATTGCGGCAGGCCAGGACTCGACCCTACGAACCTTAACTTGACTTAAGAAATCGTAATGACACGATTGCAAATAAACCATACCCCCGGCCGGGATTGAACCCGCGGTCATAGAGTCTCAAAACTCCAGCCCGTCGCGCTAGCCACTAGACCAGCTAGCCACAATAAGATTCATCCAACTAGGTATATTTCTACACCATAGGAAAGTTAGCACAGGCACCTCTGTGACCACAAATGCAAGTTTTTACAGACGAATCTCCAGCTAGCGTGGCCGTGACGAACTCTAGCTCAAGTCCCTTCACTGCCGTCAACATACTTAAGAAATCGTAATGACAAAGATTGCAAATAACCAACCCCCGGCCGGATTGAACCCGCGGCTAGCGCGACGGGCTGAGTTTTTGAGACTCTATGACCGCGGGTTCAATCCCGGCCGGGTTATGGTTTTTTTTGCAATCGTGTCATTACGATTTCTTAAGTCATGTTGACGGCAGTGAAGGGACTTGAGCTAGAGTTCGTCACGGCCACGCTAGCTGGAGATTCGTCTGTAAAAACTTGCATTTGTGGTCACAGAGGTGCCTGTGCTAACTTTCCTATGGTGTAGAAATATACCTAGTTGGATGAATCTTATTGTGGCTAGCTGGTCTAGTGGCTAGCGCGACGGGCTGGAGTTTTGAGACTCTATGACCGCGGGTTCAATCCCGGCCGGGGGTATGGTTTTTTTTCTACGAACCTTGTACCGCCTCCAGAGACAGCACAATGCACGCTGTCCAACAGCTGGGACAGGCAGTAGCGACCTGCTCCGTGTTGCACTGGGTTGTGTAACTGATGGGTATTTAGGTGGTTGGCTATCTTGCTTCTTAGAACCCTTTCAAAGATTTTTATGACATGAGATGTTAGCGCTATCGGTCTGTAGTTCTTTGCAATTGCTTTACTTCCACCTTTGTGGAGTGGTGATATGTCTTATTACTGACTGTGGGATGACTCCTGTGTCCATGCTCCCTCTCTCTAGAATGCTAAAGGCACGTGACAGGGGCTTCTTGAAGTTTTTGATGAACACGGAGTTCCTGAGTCTGGGCGTTGGAAAGAGTGCATGAACATGTCATTAATTGCCTTTTCAAAGTCTTGTGGTGTTAGGAAAATATCAGATATTTTTGAAATGACCAAATTTTGAGTCTCGGTCATAAAAAAAGTAATTTACATTGTCGACCCTTTGTTTGGTTAACAGTTCGCTGAATACTGAGTCGTACTGGAACACCAGTATCTCACTCATTTCATAGTTGTCATATGTGTAGGTTCCATCTCGTCTAAGCCGGGATCCAATAGCTCATGTGTGTGTGAATTCTCGTCTGAGCTGCCTCCTGGGGTGATCTCTGCTAAAACATTGTTTGCTATACTCCTCCATTTTAGGTGTCTCAAGTTAAAATCCCCCTGTAGCAAAATGTTTGGGGCAGGAGTTGGTAGATTTTTCAGACAGTGGTCAATTTTCAAAAGCTGTTCCTGAAACTGCTGGGAAGTTGCATCTGGAGGCTTGTATACCACCACAGTGGCGAAGTTTTGGTTGTCGATCTTTACTGTCAAAACTTCAACTACATCATTTGAGGTGTTTAGTAATTCTGAGTAAACGAGTGATTCTGTGACGTACAGGCCAATCCCCCCTTGTCGCCTATTTTGTCTGTCGCATCTGAATAGGTTATAACTTGGGATCCATATTTCGTTGTCAAAATGATCCTTTATGTGGGTCTCTGTGAAAGCTACAAACAATGCATTTGCTTCTAAAATGCTGATCAGTCTTATTTACAGAACAGTTTTTGTTGATTAAGTCTATTTGGGTCCCATTTTGCCTTATTAAGAAATTGATTTTTATGTCACAATTTCTGAGTGTCTCAAAAAATTGGTTTAACACATTAATGTAACCTGAGAATGCAACCTACGAGTAGCTTTAAGTTTAATGTGCTTGCTTAATATAGGATATGCGTGCCTTTGAGATGACACGAAAATGCCTTTTCAGTTTAACTTCAAAGCGAGAGTGTCTTAAGGAAGGTCTGAATTAGTCATGAGCTGTGTATGTCCTAACTTGCCATGTTTATTGAAGATCTTATGATTGCCACTTCTGATGCTCCTCAAATATTCGACGCTAATATTTAACTGCATTTGAAACTAATAAGATCATTAGCATGGAGGAAAACTGTAGCAGGCCTACTGGGCCATACTAGGCAGGTCATTCTCAAATCCGACCACACTCCACATATTTTTCCACTCATCGATAACTCTGAGACCAAGTGCTTCTCTACGTCCTTACCAAGTCTCAGTTTACTTAAATTTATGCCACACTTTGCAATATTGATACACATGGGGCTGGGGTTATGCAATACGAGGATGCCTATCCCGGACATCAATGACCGAAATATATCGAGGTATTATTATTATTATTATTATTGTTAGTAATAGTAAAATGTTCTGTTGTTGTTGGTGGTGGTGATTTTGTGTTATTGTTGTTAATGCTGTTATTATTATTATTATTATTATTATTATTATTATTATTATTATTATTATTATTATTATTATTATTATTATTATTATTACCACTCTTAATTATCTCACGTATTAATCTCTAGTATCACTTCTACAGCCATCATGGACCCACCTTAACACGAACCTGCCCTAGTCTACTACATTACCCTCATTATACTGTAGTTCAGCGCTTTATTCTTTGTCGTCTTTAATCATTATCTTTTGCAGTAATTTTCACGACACTTTTCCAGACGTCTGATGGCTACCCTGCTGCAACCTACCAATGCAAGGAAAGCGTTCCCTTGCTTCGACGAGCCGGAGCTGAAGGCCACCTTCGAGCTGTATGTGACGAGGGAGATAAACATGACAGCCATTTCGAACATGCCTCTACGCAACACCACCCCTATGTGAGCACCAGGGAATTACTTTTATGCATATAAGTTCGAAATTTAAGTCATACTATAAGTCATTTACTAGTCAAATTACTAATATGCAATAAAACCCTTAAACCTTTGGAAATATTCAGGTGTTAATTGAAAGGTATCTGCGTAATGCATTATTTTTTTTAGCACACCGGCCTTCTTCCACCTAGGTAGGGTGACCTGGTAAAGAAGAAGAAACACTTTCACCATCACTCACTCTATCACTGTCTCGCCAGAGGCACGCCGATATCATAGGCCAGACGGCCCTGCAAACTGCAGATATCCTCACCCTCCTTCAGAGTGTAGGCACTGTACTTCTCAACCCCAGGACTTAAGTTCGGTTAACCGGTTTACCTGAATCTATTCATAGATGTTACCTTGCTCACACTCCAACAGCCCGTCAAGTCATAAAAATCACTTGTCTCCACTCACTCATATCTAACACACTCACGATATAATACATTTTTTCTAATTGCATTCAGCCTTTGTGCAGAAACATTTAAATAGGGAAAAAAGAAGCTACAGTCATAATAATTTAAGTCATGTAAGTGCAAGTTTTCTTAAATGTATAGGAATGTATTATATTTCGGTTCATCAAGTAAGTTTTCTTCAGGGAGGGTCAAGAAGGATGGATGGTGGACCAGTTCGTCACCAGCCCACTGATGTCCACCTACCACCTGGTCCTCATCATCTCCCAACTGCACTATGTTGATGCTACCAACGACGGAGGTGTTCCCATTAGAAGTGAGTATGCATGTGCGCTCTTTTCTTTAATCTGATTTTATATACATACACACATGCATATTACATACATACATACATACATACATATATGTGTGTATGTATGTATGTAATATGCATGTGTATGTAATATGCTTACTATGTAAACGTTGATATTGCTTTTAGCAATTACCTGGCGGATATTCTTGTCAACATCACCATATGGAAGCACTATGAACTGCTTATAGGACTGTTTCATGGGGGTTTGTTGCAGCTGGCTTGTGCCTTAAGTTTGCAATCTCTGATGAAGAAAGATGGTAACTGAAGACTTGTGAAGGGCTTGTGTTATATAGATACATTCCTTTTCAAGGAAACAAGGGCTGGAGATGGGAAAAGTTCTCAAAAAGAAGGCAATAAGGATACCACTTTTAATGCTGATGTCATGGCGTGAATAGTAGTGTATAAGATCATTCTTGTTGGTAAGTTTTCTCTACACTTTGAAGAGAAGGTTGTCGCTGTCGGAAGACTTGCACAAGAGGACGTCAAGGAAAGGAAGTTTGTTGTCTTTTTCGAGTTGGCTCGACAGCATTGATCTCGATGACGAGGACTGGGATATTGAAACGTCTGGGATAGAAAACCGAGATATCGTCATGTATCTTAATCAGGAAGCAGTGACAGACGGGCTGCCCATTGTCATCCCAGAGCAGTGTTTGTAGCAATTGTCCTGATAACTGAAGAGTTTAATATAACACAGCGATCCACTAGACTAATGAAATCCTGGAGAGGTAATGGGAGGTCGTGATTATCGGTGAGTCTTTATCTCAGAATATTTATTGCAGCACGCATACATAATTCTTACACATAAATACATATTGACATACATTCATACTGTTGGACATCAAACAGGCTTGAGTGAATGTTGGCTTGTGCTATTGGAGTGTGAGCAAGGTAACATTTATTTAGGGATTCAGGAAGCGTGATTACCTGGATGTCAGTTCTTTATGTAAGAAGCACAGTGCCTTCATTCTAAAGAAAATATAGACATGTCAGTATGCTTCTAATGAGGGAGTTATTGAACGATGGATGGCGAAAGTGTTTGTTCTGCATGACTCACGACATCGTGAGCATGGTTTGTTTTATTTCGGGTGACCCTACCTCGGTGGGAGACGACATTATTGATGGGCATAACACAGATTCATCTGATAATGGAGTAAATAAAAATGCATCGTTTAATGCTGGAGTTTATTGTCGCAGGAGCGTACACAAGGAGGCAGCAGCTACACGTCCCTCTCACCCTAGCACCAGATTTGAGCCAAACTTAGGCTCCAAGGCCTCAGGAAAGCATGGTGTACCCCAGGCTTACCAAGCATGTGTCAACAGAGCGTCTCTGCTATATGGTCGAGAATGCTGTCCGGCTTTAACGGATTCTTCCAGGCTATCAGATAAACATATCAAATCTTACAAAGGACTATGCAGGTACCAATACTGCCATTGCTGACAACTCGGCTCTGCTGCGGCTGGGCATCCTCGCACAGCATCAACAGTGCTTAACATTGATGTGCAAGGAACGTAGGCTGTGAGTTCAAATTAACACTAAGTGAAAGTTATAGAATTCAACTTAGACACACAGTCCAGTAATGCATAAAAGTATTCAGCACTGATACATACTCAACAATAAATTAATCCTAAATAAATCAAGCAGTTGACCTTGGTGAGTCGCTCGACGAACTCTGGATGAAAATGAAAGTGAACAGAAGAAGACAGCTGTTGCGCGCAGTGGCTAATCTGTCAGAATGAAGAGTTCGTGGAAGGACTAAAAAAGGGGTTCTCAATATTCTTAAGAGTAGAACATATGAGTAAAATCTGCATGAACTCATTCCGACAAGACGCTGAGCCAGCATCATTACATTACCATAATATTCGAGGGCACTGCACACTGCAGAACATTTCATGAAAAATAAAGAATAGCATCATATGCAATTATGAAAACAGAAAGTCTACAGAGCACTGAGCAATGGTTATTTCATTTGGTATGTCTAGACATGGGACACAGAGGCTGATCAAAATGTACTTATTTCCATCTACATACATATATGAAAAACACAGATATGTTATGTACATTAACACCTAGCTCAGCCGTTAGATAAGCCTCGTAAACATCATATTGAACACTAGGGCTTAAAGATGCTACGTCTAATTACGCGGTAATAAACATTCCTTGCTCTTGGAGGGCATACTGACAAACGACGCACAGTCTGACGGAACACCACAATGCAACGTTACATAGTCACAAAGAGCACAAAGCATGGCAGGGCCCCAAGATGGTTTCACGAACTCATCCTTGATTCTTTACAAGTCACTGAAACATGAAGCACAGCAACTTTCATTCTAATATTCAAGTGAGTGAACTAGCCACTACACAACGTGGCCCTCGGCAGGCAGCCTGTGACAATCACAGGATAAAGAATCAGTAATTCCGGCAGCCGCTTTCTAAAAGAGAATCCTCTTTAGAGGAACTCTTCGAATTAGAAGCCTCGGATTCTCTAAGCGTTCCCTGATACCCAAAGCATTCTCATACTTTCCTACTATATAGAAGCTGTAACATCAGATTTCCAAACGGGTAACAAAGCATTACCGGTACCTACCACTTGCTAACGCTACTGTCAAAAGAACAGATCTGTACACCACTTAAACTCGACCTTCAACTCTAACGTAAACAACATCTCTAGGACCTTCAAATAAGCGACGACGAAGTCAGAGCAAGAGCAGATAGCCTGAAGGTAGAGTCCCATAGTTTCAGGTCTAGACAAATGCATTACACGCATTTTCACAGAACAAGTACCTAGAGCGCTCGATACGAATGCTGCTACAAATTCTCTAAATAATGTAAGACACATTGGATAGGCTCTTCAAGTTAAACAGTGGACGAGAAGAAAAACTTATGCAGAGAGCACAGTAAATCTGCACAAAATGCAAATGCCAATTGAATCAGTCGACTAACTGTCTCTTCTCAATACCAGTCGCAAAAAATAATAAAGAACAAAAAGCAGTAAGGGAGCCACCCCAACTATGCAGATCTTATGGCAGCCAGAAGCGTCCAGATGGTATCACCCTTCAAGCCTGGACAGACGGCAAGCAGGTGGTGTGGGACTACACATGTGTATCTACCTTGGCTGATACCTATCTACAGTACACCTGGGAGGAAGGAGGGGCAGCCGCCAGCTTCAGAGAGTCCCAGAAATATAGAAAATATGGAGAACTTGCCCATCATTATATGTTTGTTCCCATAGGCTCAGAGACCCTTGGCTCATGGGGAAAGAGTACATCTGAATTCCTTAAGGAGCTGACCAAAAGACTCATCAGGGTAACTAGGGTTCCCAGGTCAGCTAGTTTTCTGTTCCAGCGACTCAGCGCTGCTGTTCAAAGGGGTAATGCCTACTGTATTTTGGGCACGCACCCCAGTTCTGGGGAGCTGGATGAGATTTTCGCATTATAATCAGTGACAAACACGTAACAATATATACTAGATATGTACGAGACATGTATCTCTCACAGCTCATGTACTGTATGTGCAATCTTTGTATCAGCAATGTATCTCTTAAATCTTCTGTACTATATTATGTAATAAAATATACCTATTGGTAAAAAAGAATGAACAGATGGGGTGGTAGAGGAAGTGGAAAATTCAAACGGCTTCAGGAAGAAATCCAAATATTCTTCCTTGAAGCCTTTTTATCCACTTCTCCGAGGCTATGGCTCCAACAATTTACACCTATATATATATATATATATATATATATATATATATATATATATATATATATATATATATATATATATATATATATATATACCCCTCTGGGTTTTATTCAATTTTCTTACTAGTTCTTGCTCTTGTTTATTTCCTCTTATCTCCATGGGGAAGTGGAGCAGAATTCTTCCTCCGTAAGCCATGCTTGTTGTAAGAGGCGACTATATTGCCGGGAGCAAAGGGGCTAGTAACCCCATCTCCTGTATAAATTACTAAATTTAAAAAGATAAACTTTCGTTTTTCTTTTTGGGTCATGCAGCTAATCTGTATCACAGATATTTATTTGCAGGGAATAAAATCCCACATAATCAAAATAATAAGGTAAGAGGCAGAAGCAAACGTATCTTCAAAAATCAATAATGTATAATATGATCATTCAAAGTAACTGGCTGGCAAAATCAACAAAGTCAAAAAGCCAAGGTAAAACCTGTACATATATAAAGTATAAAAATCAAATGATTGAGAAATACCTGATACAAAGCAACACTTAAAAAAGATGCAGTAAGTGACTGTGCAAGACTTAATAGAAGAGGAACTTATTCCTCGTACTGAACGGAATATACACAGTATTTACAAGCACAGAACAAGGTCTCTAGAAAAAGAAAGAGCTGAGGAACAGTCTAACACTTCTATAAAAATAATGAAACAGAATTCCAGCAACAGTAATAACTAACGTACACACATGTGAAACACATAGGTGAAGCACACAGGTGAAACACATAGGTGAAGCACACAGGTGAAACACATAGGTGAAGCACACAGGTGAAACACATAGGTGAAGCACACAGGTGAAACACATAGGTGAAGCACACAGGTGAAACACATAGGTGAAGCACACAGGTGAAACACATAGGTGAAGCACACAGGTGAAACACATAGGTGAAGCACACAGGTGAAACACATAGGTGAAGCACACAGGTGAAACACATAGGTGAAGCACACAGGTGAAACACATAGGTGAAGCACACAGGTGAAACACATAGGTGAAGCACACAGGTGAAACACATAGGTGAAGCACACAGGTGAAACACATAGGTGAAGCACACAGGTGAAACACACAGGTAAAGCACACAGGTGAAACACACAGGTAAAGCACACAGGTGAAATACACAGGTAAAGCACACAGGTGAAACACACAGGTAAAACACACAGGTGAAACACACAGGTAAAGCACACAGGTGAAACACATAGGTGAAGCACACAGGTGAAACAC